AACAACTTTCGACCTTTCTTCGTCTTTCGAGGAGATCACCACACTTAACCTTACCACCCCACGTACACCTTGTATAGCTTCTCTTGAGGGGTAAGGCTTCTCATAAATGCCTTATTGGTCCAAAGCTAATCATGGTTTCTCTATTTACTTTTGAGACAACCCCCATGGCTCACTCTTCTTTTGTAAATGCATGATATCCTTATTACAAGAGATGATTATCATGGGATTGCTCATCTAAAGGAGCTCTTGAGTAAGTCTTTCAAGATGAAAGATCTTGGTCATCTAACCTACTTTTTGAATTTAGAAGGGACTCATACTTATCAAGGGTACTTCATGAACTAACAAAAGTATGCAATCAACTTGGTCAAATTTACTAATCCTACAGATGGTAAGCAAGTGGATATTCCTATTGAGGTTAATTTTTAAGCTATCCAAGGATGATGGTGACCCTCCTCCTAATGCTACTCTATATAGACAATTCGTAGTCTAATTTATCTCACTATGACTAGACCAAAAATATCTTATGTTGTTCAAGTGGTTACTTAGTTTGTTTCACATCATAGACAACCACACATGTTTTCTATTCTTTTGATAATTCCATATATTCGGACTACACGATGCCTAGGCAACAAGGCATTCTTGGATGGTCACCTTGCCCAAAAGCCCACATATTTATACATAAAACACTAAATAACATTTTTTAAATTTTTATTTTATCTTGTTGCCGTAGATCAGATCTTTGACCCTTCCCTCTTTGTGTGGCCCACAAAAATTGGTAAAACAATGTGGAGGTGCATTAGAGCTGCTGCTTTGTGGACAATTTGGGAAGAAAGAAATGCGAGGATTTTCCAAGAAGAGAGAAATATTCAGAACGTAAAGGATTGCATTTTGACCAGGGCAATCCATTGGCTGAGATCATTGGATTCTTTTAAAACATTCCTTTGATGACATTTGGAGGAACTAGATTGTTGTGGCTAGTAGCAGTAACAGGAAGAACAGGGCACCAGCTGTGTGGGTGCCTCCTTCAGAAGACTGGACAAAGCTGAATTTCGATGGTAGCAGCCAAGGAAATCCGGGTTCATCAGGGATAGGTGGGGTGCTAAGAGAGAAAGATAGTAATATATTAGCTTTATTCTCAGGCTCCGTGGGTATAGGAGACTCCATTAGAGCTGAGCTTCTAGCGGCAGTACAAGGTATTCAGATTGCAGACCAGTTAGGAGTACCGAATTTGCTTATTGAAGGAGACTCCAAAGTCGTCGTGGGCTGGTTAAAAAATCCAGCTTCAGTTATTTGGTGCTACAGGGATCTTATGAGGAAAGCTAACTGGTTTTCAAGGAACATGACTGTTAATTATCATTGGGTGGGTAGAACAGCTAATACCATAGCAGATGGGTTAGCTAAACAAGGGGAATCAAGGGAACATTTATTCTGGGCAGCACTGTAAACTTTCTTTTCCTAGTCTGAGGTGGTACTTTTTTGTTGTTGTGGAGAGGTACCAGCTCGTGCCTCTCCTTTGGGCAGGCTGAATTGTAATATCATTCTGATTATCATGAATAAATCTTCAATCATTTATCAGAAAAAAATAGTAATACAATAGATATTATTAGACTAAATTATTATACTATGGGTTTATATATTAATATTATTGTTCTCATACTAGTTTCTTTATATTTTTTTCTTATTTGTTTGGATTCAATTAACACACAAATCAGTGACATAGTCAACCCTTTAGGACTTTTTCCTTTCTTGTTTTTCTTCTCATAAATATGTTGATTTTCAATCTTCTAATATAGGGTTTATACTTATTTCATGAGGATTATGATAATCTATACTATATATAACGCAAAGTAGTCCCCGTGAACCACCCTCCCCTTCTTCCTCCTTAAATTCTCTCTCCTTTCTACCTTACCCATTCCTGGCTCTCTCATTCATTCTTTCTTAGTCATCCCTTCCACCCAGCCATCCCATTAAACCACGCCACATGGCAAGCCTCTTTCCTCCATCTCTTCCCCTTTGGATAACCCAAATTAAGTATATGTGTTACTCTTGCTATGTTTCCCATTTTTACTTTCCATTTCTTACCATTCTTTCCATTTTTCATGAAGTTGAGCCATCAACACAGAGGTAATGTTCAAAACTGCAGAAGGCTCTCTCAGGTATGGAACAGATAATATTTTCTGTTCCTCCCTCACAGATTCCATGGTTTTTATTCTACCTAATATTTTTCAAATCAAACGTTTTTGCCTCATAAAACTGTGAGTTTAACAAATCAATCCCTTTTGCCTCATCAATAGAATTCGAACGGAGAAAATCATTTCTGCCTCATCAATTTTTAACCGAGGTACACCCCTCATCTCCTAGTTTACATTGGTAGATAGGGAAGGGGAACACTGGACACTATGTCAGCTGAAAGTATTGCCATTCCAAATGTTGAATTCTATTTTGTATTCACAAAAAATTCCAAGGAATATTTTGGATAACAACAAGGGCCCTTTAATTGACCCTAACAGGATGATCTGTTGTGCATCACAATGGGGTCAAGAAGATGAAAATTACAGGTTGGGTATTCAAGTGTCCCTCAACACATGACTATGTGTGATTTATCTGGGTCAAATAAAAACTTGGACCTCTTCGCCCATCTATTACAAAACACCTCTCTCTAAAATATGAATCATTAAATTTGAAATTCCAACTGAGTGCCAGCCTACCTCAACAGATTACTTACAAGCATAGTTGTCAAGGTGACACCTAGGCGACAAGGCGCCCATTGAGGATTGCCTTACCAAATCGCCAAGCAGCTTTTTACTTCCTACTATAAAATACTTTTTTGTTCATTCTTTTTTGAGATTATAATTTCTTTTGTGTGTTTATAATGTCTATTAATAATAGACATTATTAAACTAGAATAATCATTTTGTGTGTTTATATACTAATTTCTTTTTATTATTTTCTTATTTATTAGGGTTTAATCAACACAAACATTGCTAAATGCTGTATTGAACCCTCAAACACTTCAAAACCTGAACCAATAAGGAAGAACTTAAAGTTTTATCTGATCAACACATTTTTTTCTTCTTTTCCTATAACAAAAATAAGGGTTCAGCCCCTGTATTTTTTGAATTTTATTTTCCTTCTTTTTCTTCTCATGAATATCCTGATTTTCTATATTTAAATATGAGCCTTATACTTCTTATAAAAACTATTTTTTGAATTTTATTAAGGAAATATGATTATGGTACCTAGGGAACTACTACCCTAGGATCTATGTTTTCAACAAGTCCCCTGTAGCCTAACCATGCCTTGGCACCTTGAAAACTATGCTTACAAGGGGCAACATCTATCAGAAAGGTGCTGTTCTGGATTCAACTAGCTGTACTCTTTGCGAAGGACAACTGGAAACAGTGGATCACCTTTTGATGCATTGCAGACTTTGCAGTTACTCCTCAGAGATCTGAAACAGAATTACCAACTTGTTTGAAGTGCAAAACCGTTGTCCAGGATCAGTAGAGGACTTTGTAAAGGGTTGGAGGGTGGAAGAACCAAGTAAAAGAGGAAAATTAGTCTGGAATCTAACCCCAACAGTGGTATTCTGGTGTCTTTGGAAAGAAAGAAACACTTGGGTCTTCAAGAAAAAGATAAGTTCAGTTGATTCCACTTTTCAGAAAATTGTGGGGAAAACGTTTTCTTGGTTGTCTGGTCAAAGGCTATTTAGTCAAGTAGGTTTTGAATCCTTTTTTGTACATGATAAGCTGTATGTAAAGCAGGGTGGGGATAAAGGTTAGAGGGAACAGTTTTTTTCTTGCTCCCTTAGTACATCATCTTGCTGAAAATTTTTTGTTCATATTAATACAATGATACTTTACCTTCTCTCCAGAAAAAAATAAATAAAATAAAATTCCAACTGGGTGTCTCTCTATTTCCATCAAAACTCTTCCTATTTGTAGCAGTAAAATTTGAAAAATGACTAACCATGACTCGAATGGGAACTCAGGCATCGATTCAATGCTGATAATAAAGATCAATACGGGACTTGAAGGAATCGTAGACTTTGGAGGTGTAAACAAAAGTGATGCCACTATTGACAGCATGGTGGATGAGAGCCTTCCTTGGGCTAAAACCTATAATCCCTGGGAACCCAACTTCATTCTTCCTACACTTGAATGGGAACTCAGGCATTGATCCAATGCTGATAATAAAGATCAATATGGTGGACTTGAAGGAATCGTAGACTTCGGAGGCGTAAACAAAAGTGATGCCACTATTGACAGCATGGTGGATGAGAGCCTTCTTTGGGCTAAAACCTATAATCCTTGGGAACCAACTTCATTCTTCCTACACTTACCATTCTCAAAACTTAAGACTCAACCGAACACCTTCCTCTACTTGTTTAGCCATTGAGAGTAGCATCTAGTATGAGATCTCTCTTATTATTTCTGTGGTTTTAATCTCCTTTCCCTTATATAAGCTTAACTCCCATATTCTTCTGTTGCTTCAATACAATGGTGTAATCTCAAGGGATTGAGCTGTCCAATAACCAAGACTGCACCATCTTCAATTTGATTGAATTACTAGAGAGGGTAGCTTGATTTCTTGGACGAGAACTCTACAGCAGTTCTTACACTTGTGAGGATCACTCTATCAGGAAGAGTTTTATCTCTTTCTTGTAGTTTTGGGTCTAATATGATCTGGTTCAAATCGCAAAATCAATCTTGAGGAGAAAAGCATGTCTTCTCCCATGCAATTTTGCTATTCTCCTAAGCAAATTATTGGGTTCTCAAACCCTACTTAGGTAACTTTTGAACAGCAAATTCACCCCTTGTGATAGTCACATCTTTCAATAATAATGTAAAATATTAAATAAAAGTTTTCTCTAAAAGCATATGAACTCGGCGTCATAAAATAAAAAATAATAATAAAAACAAACGTATTAATACATCCAATTCCATTATAACAATTTTTGTACATATGAAAAACAAATATAAGAATAATTTTTTTCATACCATTGAGGTGGAGACCCTTCTCTTCTCAGAACCCCTTTTGGTGGAACTTGACCCAGAACTACCAGGTGAAGTTCCTGTGGCTCGTCTGCTAAGCTTCCCATTAGATAATGACCTCTGCCACAAATCATAAATAAAAACTCAGCAGATAATTTTTAAGTTGAAAAAGAAACATAAAATTTAATTTACAATGCCAACACAAAGACAGGTTCTAATCTGAGAACCGGAAAGCATTCAGGTTTCTTTAAACCCAGGTTTTAATATTTTTGAAAAAACCGGAAGAATCGGTCAAAACCTGGCAGAACCATTGGAAACTGGCCAAGTTTCAATGATCCAACCAGTTTTCACGACCCACCCATGTCACTAAATCCATATAAACCTCAAAAATGCAAATGGGAAATTAGAGTTTAAAACATTGGTTGTAACTTTGGTAATCTGGGGGATTTTGGTGTAGGGAGACTTGGGAGTAATTAGAGATCATAACAGCACCATTTTACTTGCTGCCAAACAGTAGTATATTGGTTACAAAAACAGAAAGATATTCCATGGAGGTTCAGGTCTTAAGTTAGACATGCGCAATCTCTATAAGCTATACTATAACAAGGCTCTAACTAGTAGACTTAATCATGGTATTCATCACGACAAGCCTCATTTTCTGCATTTGTCCATTTCAATAAGCTAAATAGAGCATCATCTCTTCTACATTGAATCAAGGGCTCTACCCCATCATTCATTCCTTTTTTTTTTTTGATGAATGAAGATAATTTTATTAAGCCAGAAAATTAAGGCATTACAGGAAACCCATGAAGAGGCACGAGCTATTACCTCTTCTAACAAAGTATTACATCAAGTTAAAAACAGGAATAGACAGAAATAAAATTACAGTGCAGCCCAAAATGAATATTCCCTTGAAGCCCCTTGCTTAGCTAACCCATCCGCTAAGGTATTTACTGATCTTCCCATCCAAAGAGAGGTAACAGTCATGCTTCTTGTGAGCCAATTGACCTTCCTCAATAAACCTCTGTGCTGCCACATGGCTGAAGCTGGATCTGTCAGCCATCCCATGGAATGACATTGAGAAGGGGAGGATAGAGAGCCAAGATGCAAGTCTGGCCATAATATACTGGATTTAACACCTCATACTCTTTCTTCTCTTTTATAAAGATTCTGTCTTTTCTCTCAGATCATATAGTGCTGATTTCTGCTGCTGGCATAGCTCTCCAAATGTATTTGCCTTTTTTTGACAAACCCGGAAAGTACCAGCTTTTAAACAGATCCTTTACTGTGCCCAGCATTACCCAACAAACACCAACAGCATCAAGGAAATGAGACCAGATGTTCCAAGCAAACTTGCAATGAATACAGAGATTGTCAACAGATTCCTTGTCAAGACCACAGATTCCACAATTAAGGTCATCTAAACTGGTACCTCTTCTTGCCAGGTTGCTTCTTGTTAGGCATTTCCCTAATGCTGAGGCCCACATCAAGAAGTTGATTTTGGATGGAGATTGAAGGCTCCAGATCTGTTTACATGGGAAGTCAGTTGCCATTTAACAATTAGACCTTCAGCAAAAGACCTAACCAAGAACTTTCCATCAGCAGTCCAATTCCAGATGCATTGGCCTTCTGACTGGGGTGTAAAGGAAAAGTATTTAGGCTACTCAGCAAGTTCACAACTTCTTCCACTTCCAGTCTTAGAGAGGAAACTTCCCTTCCAAAGACCCCTCATCTAGCCATTTGTCCTTCCAGAAGCAGATTCTTCCATCATCTCCAAACTTGAATCCCACTCCTTTTAGGACATTAGAAAGTGTTTTCATTATAGCTTTCCATATGGAGCATCCGACGGAAGGCAAATTGATAGCAGTCATCCATCCCCCTTGTTGTAGACCATATTTAGATGCAATGAGTCTCCTCCCTCCACCAGCAGTTTTCTTCCACTCCAAATCTCCAGATCCACTTTCCCAGTAAGGCTGTATTGAAGGTTTTAATTCTTCTCAGCCCCAAACCACCTGAATTCCATGGGGTGCAAATCTGATCCCAAGCGATCATATGAATTTTTTTTTCATCTTCCCACCCTTTCCATAAAAATTCTCTTTGTAATTTTTATATTCTCTTAGCTATTGAGTTAGGGATAGGGAAGAGGGATAGATAATAGGTTGTCAGGTTTGCAAGAGTACTTTTAATCAAGGTCACTCTTCCCCCTTTTGAGAAGTATTTTGCCTTCCAAGAAGTGAATTTCCCCTCGAGTCTTTCCAACACTGGCTCCCAAATTGCTGTAGAAGAGAACTTTGCACCCAATGGCAGACCAAGAAAGGTAACTGGGAACTGTCCACTTCACCCCCTGGATTAATTTCAATGCCCTCCCAAAGTCCAGACTGTCCCGCACTATTGATGAATTGGGTCAGGACCTCCATCACACAAAGGAAAAGAAGAGGTGACAAGGGGTCTCCTTGGCGAATGCCTCTTGAATTTTTGAAGAACCAGAGGAATTTCCATTAATTATAACAGGATATTTTGGTGAAGAAAAACATACTTTCATCCAGTTTCTCCACTTCTGGCTGAAGTTCATTTTTCAAAATGAAATTTAGGCATCTCCAATTAACATGGTCATAGGCTTTTTCAAGATCCACTTTACACAGAATTCATGGTTTTCCTGCCCTACTTGAATCAATCACTTCATTGGTAATTAAAACACTGTCCAAGATCTGTCTTCCCCCAACAAAAGCACTCTAATTTTCTGAAATTACACTTCCTAGATTCTTTTTTAATCTCTCAGCCAGCACTTTTGCAAGAAGCTTAATAGAAGCTATTCAGCAAGCTTATTGGCCTGAAGCCTTTGAGGTTTATTGCCCCTTCCACCTTTGGAATTAAAGTAATGAAAGTGGCATTCAAGCTTCTCACCAAAGAAGCAGATTCATGAAATTCCTGAAAAGGCCTTTAAGATATCAGTTCTGATAACATTCCAACATTTCTTTTAAAAAATATTTGTTCATCCATCAGGCCCTGGGGATTTATCCAAACCCATTTTCTTAATAGCTTCCCAATTTTCGTCTTTCAAAAAAGGTTTTTCCGAATCCTCTTTTTCAGCTTCATTTAAAATTTTAAACTGTATCCCTTCAAGTAGAGGTCGGGCTCTTCCAAGGCTCCAAAAACAAAGATTTGTAGAACTTTGTGGCAATGGTTTGGATTTCACTCGGCTGCTCCCCTATCTGACCATCAAATTCCAGCCTGTTAATATTGTTTACTCTGTATCGTGCATTAACCATCCTATGAAAAAATTTGGAGTTTTTGCCCCCACCTTTAGCCACTTCACTTTTGCTTTCTGCCGCCAGTTTATTTCATCCTTACAGGCTAGTTTATCAAAGATGATTTTTGCTTCATCTCTCTTTCTTCTCTCCTCTTCAGAAAGCACTCTCCGTTCCACTAATTTATCCAACTCCTTATCAGCTCCAGGCACTCTTATCTTTTTTTGCTCTGTCAAAACGGATTTTCCTATTCTCCAATTTTTATGACAGCCTTAATTTCCCCTAGTTTCTTGGCCAGCACAAATGAACTTGTTCCCTCCGCTTGAACTTCAGCCCACTGAATAGGGCAGTGATCTGATAATGGGCGGTAAAGCTTCTTGCTTTGTACCCAGAAATCTATCCTCCCAATCAGCAGAGATTAAGAATCTATCACGCTTCACCTAAATTGGGTCCTCCTGATTGTTGGACCAAGTAAATTTTGCACCTGAGAGGTGAATCTACCAACTGATAACTGATTATAAAGTCTGAGAAGTTCCACATTGCCCTTGTTCTACACTGACCTTTATTTTCTTCTATAAACCTGGTAACATTGAAGTCACTACACTGACCTTTATTTTAAATAAAATGTAAATTCAGAGACGCAAACCCATCATTTCTTTAAAAATTAAGGAACTTGCCATCTAACTACCACATTTAAATATACTAAAAGTTATAAAATATATTCTATATAGTATTTACATGACCTGTAGTGTATATATATATGGTATATGCCACATCATCACGACTCAACCCCGACTGAACCTCTGACCCGTGAACCTCGCCCTTCTCTGGTTCTATGCCCGGTCTAGTTTCCTGAGCATTGTCTATACTAATTGTACTATTTTTTTTTTTTGATAAATGATACTCAATTGTACTATCCACTTCGGTGGACACCACATCATCTGAATTAATAACCAACATGGGGACTCAAAAACAGCGATATCTTGGACCAATTCAAGCAGTAATGTTCCTTGGATCTACAAACATCCATTAAGGGAGATAGTAAGCATAGCAAGGGAAATTAATGCCCCGACCACATGGATCAGGAGAACTGCAAATGGATGGTCGATTCTCTAGCTAAACAGTTTGGGCTTTATTGTAACATTTGTTGGTGCAATGTCTGCTTGCTATCTGTCGTATTTCTGTATTTTGAATAAAATTCTCATTTTGCTGATCAAAAAAAAAAAAAACAAGTTGGGCCAAATGTGAACCTTAATACCTCTAAAAAATATTGAGAGGCCCACTACTAGCCCCCCCACATGAGCACTTAACCTCTCACATGGTGACAAGGAATTTGGGGATATTGGGAGACTACAGACACAGTCTATCATCTTCTACTTTGACCCCAACTCTCCCTGGTGTAAAACAAATGCAGCAGAAACGTACAAAGAAGGGCAAAATGAGCTTGGTTTGGCAGCCCTGCAACTCCAAAACAAGTAGTTCCCCCAATCAGCCAAATCCCAGCTATGATAGACAAAGGGAAGAAGGAAGAATGATGCTTGGACTGTGGCTACGATTCCAGCAACACTTGAAGTATTGGGAGAGTGAAAACTAATAGGACGAGGGAGCTTGACAGAGAGAAGTTGTTCCTGGAGGAGGATGACAACAGAAGTAGACGTAGCTAAGAACCAGGGAGAGGAGGAACCTATACTGGTTCACCATCAAATACAGGATATTCATATAATGGAACAGAACTCTTACCAAAGGCCAAATGAAGGAAATCCAATAAGGGGTGAGCAGCATGCTGGTCCAAATGAGAATAGTCTAACTTTGTGGGAATTTCCCCAGTAGAATACCAACGGAAAGGAGAATAAAAATGCCCCTTCTGCCCAG